GGGCCCCAGGGCTCCGGGACGGCTCGGGGGCTGCAGGGCAGTGCACTGCTCACCATCCGGGCTGCGCTGGTGTAGACACCAGCCAGGACAGCTCGAGCTCAGAAAATCAAACCCTGCACAGTGCCCACTCTGCACTGCACACACGGTCTCCATGCGCGTAGTGCTACCGCTCCCGTATGCGGGGTGGCAGGAGGTGGGGCCTGGCTCCATTTCCGGGGTGGTGGCTTTGATTTTACCTCCAGGGAAGGGGAAGAGTCAAGTTCCAAATATCCCTGCACCTCCTGTGCTGACCAAGTGTTTATGAGCAGAAATGGAATCCTGGGGGCTCTTCTGCGATCTGTGAGCTGAGGGGATGGCAGTAGGGGAGGGCGACTGTGCCATGGAGGGAAGGGGCTTCGGGGACATCTCCGTGTGGAAGTCCCATGTGCGCCTGGACAGCTGGACCAGGTCACCATGGAGCCGGAGACCCTCTAATGGCTGTGCCGGTCATCTCTGCCGGTCTGTGTTTGGCATTTTTGGGGTTCTGATCTCATGGGGAGTTTTCGCTTCTATCAAGATTCCACTTTGTCAGATCCACACAGCAGAAGCAGCCCTACCTTTAGCCCAGCTGGACGACGTGGACCTTTCTTCCTGCCCTGCAGTGTCGTAAACACACTTGGAACACACTTCAAGATGAACGTGCACTCGAGCCGTGCAGGCCAGGGGAGGGAGGAGCCCCGTCTAGATAACAGCCGAGGTTTTCTTCTTCCTTTCTTTTTGTACAGAGGTCGAGAGCTCAGTCATACTGCGGTCCAGGCCAAAACAAACTCTATATGATCTACTACCGACTTCCTTTCAAGTTCCCCTTTTCACTTGGGCTGCCTTCCTTTTATTTCACTCCAACTTACATTAATCCCAGTTATAGAAGTCTCTTCCCTTTCTCCCTTACCTCTAAGTTCAAACACATCTTCCATAGGAAACAAGCAACTTTTTAAAAAGATCTACTTAAACACATACAAAGGACGGGGTGGTTTTGGAATCTATTTCGGCAGCTTGCAGTTTCAGAGTTCACTTCCGGCCAAGCAGTGAGGCGGGTGGAGCTGCGCTGCCTACGTGACCCTGCTTCTCTGCTCTCCCCTGGCACCAGCAGCGGTCACGTAACAGCTGGCCACGTCTTCCCTGAGGGTACCGCCCCTTTCCGTGGGCGTGGCGTGAGTCTCGTGTGGACCCAGCACCCAGACGCTCAGAGCTGGCAGGGCTGGGGCCAGGGCTTCCCGCTTGAGGGGCGCCTGTGTCCGGGGAAAGGTGGTGCCAGCTGAAGGCAGGATGAGGGTGATGCCGGGCTCTGCTCCGATCTCTGCCCTCAGGAAACCTATCGGTAGCTAGGGGAGTGGGGAGTCCCCTCCGGCTGCCCCCACTCCCCTGCTGGAGCCTTCTGAGCCGAGCTCTCAGGACAGCGTAGGCACAAGCGACGCAGGGCCCGGGACACAGGAGTGCCGGGAGAGGATGGCTGTCCTCCGTGAGCCGGGCATGGGCCTCCCGTGTGCTGGAGCCCTCTGGGGTCAGGTTGGCCGTGCTGCCCCCAGTCTGGCTGGCGCTGTCATTATTCTGACGGCAGTGAGAGGACAGCTCGCTGGTAGCACCTGGACGCCCTGAAGCCAGGCAGGTGCAGGGCACCAGGGATGCCCGCAGTGGGCACCCACAAGGCCCCAGTGGTGCCTGCTGAATGGAGGTCATCGTCGTCCCCACCCGAGAGGATGCCGGGACGAACCGCAGCGGGTGATCACGCGAGGTGCGCAGCTTGTGGGGCTGGAAGGGCTCAGGTTTATCATGTGGGTGATCTTCAAAGAGCCGCAGGCCTGCAGCATCCCCGGCAGTGAGATAGACCGAGATTGACCAAGATTAACCCTCCCATTTACCAGACAAGAACCCGAGTGCAGAGAGTGGAACTGCGACTCCCCACACTTGCAAAGTGCCACGTCAGATAGACACACAGTGAAGCCACACGCGCACTTGCAAGTAAGGCAAAACGAATTAGCTAAAAATGCCACGTTTATCCCAATATAACCAGTCTGTCTACTGCGTGTGGCATGAGTCGCATTCCAGTGCTGATGGCCGCATGTGGCTGGGGCCACCACGCTGGACTCCGAGGGCCTGAGGGACCCCTGAGCACCCACTGGGAGGGTGTGTAGATGGGGCCTGCACCTGCATTCAGAAAAGTCTGCCTCGGAGGGCCAAGGAATAGCCACGAGACACTCTCTTTGGGACGCCCCTCAGGGAGACCCTGGGAGCCAGTGGGCTATGCTTCGCTCTGAGGGAATATTCCTAGAGCTCCAGGTCCAGGCCTGGGTTCATCCAGCCTTGCACATGAGTATCTGCTGTTCATCTGGTTTCCAAGCTGTCTTGAAATCATCGTATTCTCATTCTTATGCAAGAATCAAATAATTTCAGAAAGATCCCACCTCCCACCGGGCCCTAGGAAAATTGTCAACATGGGCTGAGTGATTTCACTTGGTGAACAATTTTTTTAAAATCAGTGACAAAAATATAGAGCTACCTGGGGAATACAATGACTGCTGGCTGAGATTAATGGGCAGATTAATAAATGGATTGCTTGATGAAAAGGCGCAGGAGAACAAAAACCAGCGGCGAGGTCGTGGAGGGGCCGCTTATTAATGAACTGTCAGCCCCGGGAAAGTTCAGGAAGCTCCCCGGTGCTGAATGTGGCTGGCCGGCTCTTCTAATAAAAGTTGGGGTCCTTCAGGAATTAATTACACCAGGCTTGCAGCAGGAATTCGTGGAATTGCGAAACAGTGGCACCGACAGCACGGCGGCCGCCGCCACAGGCTGGGAAGCTGCCGGGAGAGGCCGCTCATTTTTTGCGTTGAGATGTCCATGCTGTGGCAGCATAATGGCCGGGACGCAGGCGCAGGCCCCTCCTGGAAGCTGGCTCCCTCCTCGTCCCGTCCGGTGGAGCTGCCTCCGAGGAGTTCCGGGTAGTTTTCAGGGCGATGACTTAGGGTTAGAAGGACCCCACGGTGATTTATCACGCTGCGCGGAGAGGGGCTGCTGTGTGCATTTGCTCCTAGTCCCTGGTATCCATCTCGCCTCACGGGTCCCCCGTTTGGGCTTGAGAAAATCCTCTGTGAATTAAAAATGAGGGTTGCCCAGTGAGGGGCAGGAAAGGGGCCTGGCAGTGTAGGAAGTCCCTGTCCTGATTTACGAGGGGGACCAAAGTCTGCATAGGGCGTGTTTAATGAAAAAAAATGCACCATAGGGAACGACACGGTGCCGTGCACCACCTCAGAATACTCTCTCCTGCTCCAGATGCATTTACCCCATTGTCTGCTCCACTTTCCGGAGTAGTTCTGGAAGTTCTCTTTTTACGTCTTTCTGAGATCTGATCCGAAGTGTGCTGAATGCGGCTGTGCACCGACGACTTGTAAAACATGATGTTGTGTCCTTATCCGCCTTATTCAGCGGCTCTGGCACCGTGCGGATTCCTCCAAGTCAAGATGACCACGAGAGGTCAACATTTTGAATCAGTTCGGGACATCAGGGTAGCTGTGCCCAGGTGACTGAAGACACGAGAGAGGACTCCAGAGCTGCTGTAGGAAGTGTCAGGAACGAGTACATGTGTGTGCTCTAAGTGCGGAGAGGATTTCGAGGGGCTTTCACAGCAATGTGTCTTTTACTATAACAAAATTTTTAAAAATAAGCGCTTACTGTAGTTTGTGACCACAGCTTATGTATGCTGGGCTTCTAGGGATGAGACGGCTATAAACAGAACAGATTCTGTTTGGTTTCCATGGTTGCTGAGGTAGTTTCTCTTTGGGGTCCCATTGTAAATCACTGGCCTTTTTTTTCCTTTTTGGGTTTTTAAAACGATGCTATTTGCCTGTGGCTGGATTATAAACTTTACAGCGCATGGCTCCTTTGCTGTGCACAGGGCTCACCACCTCTCCCCTTTATCTGTCGCATCCTTGGACCCTGCCCATCCGTCACTGGTGACTGACTTCTCAGGCCCTCGTGATCCACAGGGTCCTTATCCTTTTGATTAAAACAACTTAATAGCCTCTTCATGAATAATTAATCGGCTGTCGTTGGACCGCAGCTCCAGGCTTTTAAATTTAATGTTGAGCTGTCTGGTCTGTGTTGCCTTTGGGAGCCTCCCTCCCCTCAGCCTTTCCCCTGCAAGGTTGTCCCTCTTTGGAACCTCTGGCGCGTGTGGACTGAGGTTTGCATGAAGCCACCAAACTGCTCTCCCGTTCCCTCTGCTATTGGAGGCAGGGGTAGCTGTGTGAGGACGAAGGCCACTCCTGACTGCACGTGTCAGTAGGCTGCAAGATGGAGAGAGAGGCTTGTGCTGGAAGACAAGCGAGAACCCCAGCACCTTGAGGAAGCGGTTGTGTGTGTGCCTGTGTGCGTGCGCACCTGTGGGTCATGTGTTTCTGACTCTGGATGTTTCCCGGCAGTGACAACTTATACCAGATGACCTCCCAGCTCGAGTGCATGACCTGGAACCAGATGAACTTGGGGGCCACCTTGAAGGGGTAAGTGAGGCCGCCCTCCACACCCTCTGTGCGGTCACTCGAAGGGGCCCTCAGGGCATCAGCACACGGCGTGCTCCTCTGTCCTCCAGGGGTCATGTTCAGGACGAAAGTTTCAGCAGTCCCGAGAGGGGATGCTTCGCCTGGAACAGGGGAGTTGTGAACATGGACCGCTGTGACCTCCCAGTGGGAGTGGTAGAATTCTTCAGCGTTGTAGGGCCCCTGCCTCCTCCTGCATGTGACGTTTTGCCGGATCACAGAGGCTAACGGCTGCCCTGGCCTACAGAGCCAGGTCCAGGTCTGTGCGGGCCACGGAGTTTGCCAGAGATGCGCTGTCTGCCCGTGCGGGCTTTTCAGGAAGCGCGGTGTGGATCCCGGCGCCAGGCACAGGCTGTGTCGAGGGTCCCGGGACCCACGCCGTGTCCATTTGAGTGCAGCTGCCTATCCAGGCCCAGGCTCTGCCCGGCTCCTGGTGCCACCTCCTCCTGCCTGGCCTCAGAGGGGTTGCGACTCAGCTGGGCACCCGTGGGGCAACCAGCTGTTCCTCCGCTGGTCCTGGGTGGGGCTAACTGGAGTGCCGCCCACTCTGTCCCATCCCCACCTGTTCTTCTCTTCTAGAGTCGCTGCTGGGAGCACCAGCTCAGTGAGATGGACGGAAGGGCACAGCAAGTGAGTGACCATGGCACGGTGGCCGACTCCGGGACCACGTAGGAGTTAGGGTGACGCGGGAAAGTAGGGGTGGGCAAACCCACCCAAGTCCCGTGTCACAGACACACTGGGCCACATGGCGCACGTGGGGCTGCAAGATCGGAGAGCTGCGCCTGGCGCGTTTCCTTGTGAGGGTTTCACAGAGCGCTGAATTCGAATCTTGCTCGCTCCAGTTCAGCCCGCCAAGCCTCTGCTCCTAACCCAGTCGCTTTTCTCTGCTCACCTGTACGCCTCCAGGGCTGAACTGGCTTTGCTGAGTGTGGCTAGGCTCTGTGATGGCCCACCTGGCCTCCGGCTGGCACCCCGGCGTTTCTGTAGGGATTTCTCCTGTTTCTGTCCTCTCCACTCTTGCTGGCCCAGTCTTGGTCCTGTTTCTCGGACCCTTCCGGGAGAACGCAGAGGCCTCACCCCCGGGGGCTGGCGTCAGGTCCCCCCCTCGGCCCACGCCCCTGTCTTTCTGCCTCCTCATCGGAAACTCTCTTCCCTCTCTGGGGATCCAGGGATCCACAACTGAAAAGCCTCCTGCAGCTGTGAACTGCTCCTCCTGTCTCCCGGGCTGCTGAGGCTTTCACGACCCGGATTCTGTCGCTCAGCTTCTCCCATCTCTTGGCCTATGGCCCCCAGTTCCTTCCCGGACCTTTCCTTCCTCCTCTCCTCTCTCTGCTCTTTAGAACCGCAGAGCATGGATATACAGGGTGCTTGGCGAGTCTCCCCGACTGTTCCTCCGCGTGGGGCACAGGCCAGGTTGGTTGAATTACGGACATCACAGGTCAGGAATCTGGGGTGCGTGTGACGCTGGGCGTCCCACGGTGGAGATAATTTTGATACTTTTAAAGGCCTTTAGACACGTGACATGCGCCACTTGCTGGGAAATCAGAACCTGTATTGCATGGGTGAAGAACAAAGTGTGAAAATATGTTTTGTTCAATTTGTTTCTTTACAAGAAAAACGAGAGGGATTTTCATTGGTTTGTTACTTTTTGGGACAGCATTTCAGAAATAAAAATGTATTTCCTGAATACCACTTTATTCAGGGATCAGCTGTTCCCAATGAGGACACTGCTTAGAGAACAATATGCCACAGCTGTCTAAGTTTCTGGCGTTTTCTCGCACTGTGGATTTTTCCCCTAGACTTTATGTAAGCCAGCTTCTTCTGCTTTCCCGGGGGCTTTTCCTGTGGCCCTCGGAGCTGGTGGCCGCCCTGCACACCGGGCTACCTTGGGGAGGGTGGAGAGACCGAGCCACTCCTCAGTCCACGTCGGTTCTGTCTGCCTCTGGTCCCGGCCCGAGCTTAGCGTTTCCAGAACCTCCAGGCAGTGCAGCGCCCTCGGCTGGGACGGTGAGCAGTATTGGCCACGCGGCACCAAGCCCAGTGGGGCCGCCCTTTGCCAATCGGCTCTGAATGCTGCTGGGCATGGCGTTCTAGGCCTGCCTCATGCCTGTGTCGGGACCAGGTGCCTCTCCAGCTCTAAGAGGATGGCTGGTGCCTCTCCCCGCCAGGCCCAGGAAGCAGGGACAGCACAGCGGAAGTCTGGCTCTCTGCAAAGCCTGCCTGGGCGACCGCGTTGGTTGGTCTCTGTGATGCTGATTGGCCTTCCTTTGTCAGGATGCAAAGGCCATTAATGTGGAAAACGTGTTTGGGGTGTGAAAAGACATTCGTGACCAGAGGAGGGAGATGGGGGGCCCCTGGGGGGGCGGGGAGGCTGAGGCAGAAGGATCACAAATTTGAGTCTGGCCTGGGCACCTTAGTGACTTAGCAAGTCCCTGTACCCAAAATTTAAAAAGTGGGGCTGGGGAATGCGTCTGGTGTGGAGCCCTGGGCTCAGGCGGGCAGAGCTTTGCTTCCGGGGTTTTGACCTTACATGAGGTCAGCGGTGAGTGCCAGTGACAAGGTGGTGGTCGTACTCAGGCTTTACAGCAAAAAGACCCAATTCCACGCCTCTGCAGGGCCAAGGCGCCGTCTGTCCAGAGAGCCAGCTTCCTGTCTTCTGTCCTTGGAAGGATTATGAAAAGCTCTTCTGCAGAGAGGAGGCCATCTCTGCTGAGGTCCCTGAGCTCCTGGATGTGGGACGTGGGGCGGAGCCGGCCCTGGCTGTGGGAAACCCGCCTGTGGGGAGTGCAGCACCCTCCTCAGCCCCTCAGGGCCTCTGTGCATCTGTTGGGGGGCAGGGCTCCAATGAGCCCGCAGAGGGAGAGTCCTGTGTCTTGGGTGAGGTTGGAGGAAAGGTGATTTACAGACCCACTGTCCTTTCCCCGCCCGTGGACACAGACATCAGGTTCCAAAGCCAGAGCCAGCCGGAGGTTCGCTTTTCTAGGACTCTTCCCCAGCTCCAGGCCATGGCCTTCGCTGTGCTGCTTGGGCTGCGGCTGAGGTCTGCCTCTCATTTCCTGACCATTTCTGTGCGCTCTGCGTGGCGCTGCTCTGAGGTGGGGTCCGAGCCTTGCTGCCCCATGTGGTGCCTGTTTTGTCTCGAGAAGAAAACAGCCTGGGAGACGAGAAACACATCAACCTTGACCAGGGTCCAAGTCCCTCGGCCAGGAAGTGGCGCAGGAAGTGTAACAATGGTGCAGAGGGGCCTGGAGACAGCCCTGCCTGCCTCAGGTGGAGGACGGAGCAGCCTCAGCCCTGGGCCCTCGCCTCTCCCTGCAGGAAGGAGGCTGCTCACCCTGCCGCCGACCCGGTGTGGCCGGAACAGTTCTTTTTGCCTTCCATTAATCTTGTTGGCAACCAGGAAGACAGGTGACGGGCCAGCCAGAGAGGGAGTGTCATGACTCAGCCTCCTGTTGTTGGCCTGCCCCACAGGGAGGGTGCACTGTGAAGCTGCTCTGCTTCTCCACTCTCCTGTCTTCCGCGTGTGCTCGCGTGTCTGAGTGTGTTTACCCCTGGCGCTGTCCCGCAAGTGAGCTTGGTTCCTCTCCTAGGAAGGACTGGCTTTAGCTCGGATGGAGTTCTATAGATCCAGTCCTAGGCCATCGGAAAGCTCTGTGTCCCAGATTTCACAGGAGTCTTGACCTTGGAAATATTCTTAGCTGCCTAAAATCTACTCAGGGTTTGGGAGCCCAGTAGGTTAGTGCAGTCCTGTGGTCCCAACACTTGGGAGGCTGAGGCAGGAGGATCTCAGGTAACTCGGCAAGACCCTGTCTCACAAAAAAAAGGGCTGGAGTGCATAACAGGCCCTGGGTTCCATCTCACTTCCGACAGATAGTTGCACACATGGCCTTGTAGGCTTTCCATCTTTATAGGATGTCTCTAACCCTTTTAAAGCAGGAATTCGGTCATCTCATAAAGGAGAGGGAAGGTTTGTTCAGAGGAAGATGAGAAAGCACAGGAGAACAGTCAGGTGGGGGCCTCATCGGGTCCCGCTCTGGGAGTGTGAGGTGGGCTCGCTCACAGGGGTCCCTCTGGGCTGGCGGAGCGGTGTGGGGGAGGCATCGGAAGCCCAGTGGGGACGCACCAGGAGCTCACCCAGGGACTTCAGGGCTGCCCTCCTCCCCTGCTCACCCGGCTTCACTTCTGACTCCTCCCCTCTGACAGAGCAGAGATGAGGCTCTGTCTGCAGGAAAGCAGACTGTGGTGCCAAACTGGAGAGAAGAGAAAAGCCAGCTGTGTTCTCACCACCAGAGGTGGCTGAAAAAGTTGTAAAAGCGCGTTGGTGTGCATTGTATCTGTAGAGAAAGCTGGAAACCTCTCCTGTGAAGTGTGGTTCTCTCGGGATTGGCTACTAGGAGGGGCTGAGGCCTGGGGATGGGGAGACATCATGGAGGAAAGGGCCGGGCATCATTCTGCAGAGGGAGGAGGAAGGAGTGGGCAGTCTGACAAAGGCCAGGAGGTGGTTTCTCTGATGTTTTTTCTTTTTTGAGACAGAGTCTCACTGTAGGTCAGACTGGCCTTGAACTCACTGTGTAGCTCAGGCTGGCTTTGAACTTGGAGAGATCCTCTTGCCTCAGCCTTCTGAGTGCTGGAATTACAAGCGTGTACCACTAGTGCCTGGCCCTGGGGAGATGGTGTTTTAAAATTTGTTGTCCCTTAGAAAACTATATTTTAATATTTGTAAGGGAGTGTGACTGTGGCAAGTAGAGGGAGGAGTGTGTGGGGAGGGAACTGCGGGATTGGCTGGGATGGGGCAGGGAGGCCACGCCCACACGGCGCCCTGGGACCCCGAGAGTGCTTTGCTTGTCCTGTGGACTAGAATTTTTTTTTTCTGGTTTGTATTTCAGCTCTGTCAGAAGTTTTAAAATTAAAAAGGTTGTAATCGTTGTTGCGCTGGGGTTGGAGCCCAGTGCTCCTGCACTCCTGGCAAGTGCTCTCCCTGGAGCTGCAGCTTCAGCCAGGCTTTTACTGTTATAGTAACATTTATAAGCTGCTTTTCATAGTTTCAATTTTTGGCTTTTGTGTTGTGTTTATGAAAGATTCTCCCCACCTTACAATTTTGTAAATATCCGGAATACTTCTTTCTTCCTGATCTTTATAAAAATTAAGCTATTCCAAACTGGATTCATCCCAGATTTATGTGGCTCTCAGAGTCCTGCTCGGTTTCTTTGCCAGCCCACCGTGGCTGCCCTTCCTCTGTCCATCCTGTCCACTGCATCCAACTCCGACCCTGAGGGCCCGCCTCAGCCTCCTCCCTTCGTTGGCTGCCCCTCCTCTGCTAGGTCTCTGGCTCTCTTCTTTCCTGTAATTTCAGTCTCTTTAAATCGAGGGTAAGAATTCCCCCAGCACTGCACTTCTTTTAGAAGGTATTTCTAGCTATCATTTATTGCTTATTACCAGTCAGTTGGTTGAGATGTGGTCACTGCGTGTGGCCCAGGCAGTTTCAGGTTCCCAGACTCAAGTGATCCTCCTGCCTCAGCCTCGAGAGTAGCTAGGAATAATGTGTGATTCACCATGCCCTCTAGATTCTTCAAGATCATATCGGTTCACTAACTGTGACAGATGTTACACATCAGTCTGAGGTGTCTCTA